ACACCAAGACTGAAGCTTCGTGGGGAGAGCCGTCATCCCCTTCTGCTGCAGTTGATAATGGCACCTCAGCATGGGGGAAACCCCCCAGCAGTGGTACAGGGTGGGGAGAGAATCCTGCCGAGTCGGCAGGGACGTACGGAAGAACAAACGCTCCAGCTGCTGCCCCAGCACTGTGCAAACCAGGTACGTGCGTGGATGGCAGTGCTGGAAGGGGCTTGGGGAAAAAGGCAAAGCCTGTTTGTTTTGCCAGTGTTTCTAAACACCACTTCTGGTTTTCTGTGCATTTAAATCAGAGACTGTCTTAATAATTTCATTCTCAAAACTCCGTTAGCTGTCTCAAAACATTGGATGTTCCAGATGCCAAATTAATACAAAAGTAAGACAGTAGTGTGTCCATCCAGTAAATTTAAAGGTATTTCTTGGAGTATTTTTGTGTACTAGAAAAGCAGTGTGGTAGAGATGCAGGAAACTGTGATGATGCTGCAGAAGAATGTGAACGGTACTTACCCCTCGCTGCCAAAAAGAAACCTGCACTGGGATGAGAAGCAACTGAGCTGAGTCAGGACAGGATGAATTGTGTTAGGAAAAACAACACATGAGAACAACTAGACATAACCTTGGTTAAACTGAGGGAAGTGGGTATCTTCTTCAGCTATTAAATCTGCTCACAGGTTCAGGAACATCCTGAACTCTACTTACGGCTTTACAATTCCAAAGTAATATTATTTGGTACAAATCCTCTGTCTCCAATTGCCCTGGAGGCTACAGTGCTTGTTTCAGACTTCTGTTTTGACTGTGAAAGTCTTTTAAGTTTCAGTCCTGCAAAATACTATACTGTGAGAAAGATAGAAGGCCCAGAAAACCTAAAAAGAGGAGTGAGAGGTCTTAAGATGAGTAATCCCAGCTTTAAACAGAGTAAACGTAATAAAATGGAGCAAGGTGGCACAATCTCATCGCTTCATGTAAAGTGTTCCCCACAGCCCACGTGCTGCTTTCAGATCCTGTTCTTCTGAGGTGAGAATGAGTTTCTGACCATTAGTCACCTCGAAATTTGGTTTTGTTCATCGGAAGAATGTGGCAGCCAAGATGGTGAGATTAATTGAAAGCAAAATGGCACATAACAAGTGTGTGGTGGTACTTTTGTTTCCTTGTTCCTAGGAGACTGGAATGACCGTGAGCACAGATGTTACTGGTTCAGGAAAAGGCTAGACTTACTGTTGCTGGACTTTTTCTTCTATAAAGTATTTAGAGAACTTTTCTTTTTTGCTAGTTTCAAAGGAGTCCTTATCATTTAATGCCAATTAAGCTACTCGATGAACCTCTGTAGCTGTTGAAAATACTGAAATGTTGGCATACTGGACATGGCATAAAAGGATATTTCTGTAAAATTTGCAGGAAATTGAATCTGATTTTTCTTCTCCCTCCTTCCTTTCCCTCCAGCTTCAAAATCTATGCAAGAAGGCTGGGGCAGTGGTGGGGATGAAGTGAATCTCAGTACTAGTCAGTGGGAAGATGAGGAAGGAGATATGTGGAATAATACTGCTTCACAAGAGAGCAGCTCCTCCTGTAATTCCTGGGGGAATGCCCCGAAGAAAGGACTTCAAAAGGTAAGACAAAAACAAAGATAGTCTCTAGAAATAGATGCAATTAGTATAACATTTCTAGAATCAATTGTCACAATTTTTTTGTTACATTTCACCTGAACTCTTAAATTAGACTTCTGACACCTGAGCACAGGCACAGGTTGCCACTACAGTGGTTCAAGTACAGCCTACCTTGTTTCCAGGGGAAAGTGGGAGAACTTTGACTTCCAGCATGTCAGATGCTTTGGGAGATTTTGTTATTGCTGCTTTTGTATTCTCTTTAAGTGCTATAAGCTTCCATTTATTCTGAAGAAATGATTATGTATTAACGGAAAGAAAAAAGGTGTTAAGGGGGCTTTCAGACGCTTTCCATGGTGGTAGCAAAGCGAACAATAGTTTGTGATGAAGTGATTCAACAAAAATATGATATGCTTCCTATTTGTGAGGAACAAATAGGTAATTATAAGGTGTGTACTGGTATGAGAACAAAGCAAACCTGTATTAATGCTGCACTCAACCAAGAACATGGCCAGTTATGTCTGGAAGTTTTCCATTAAGCAGTCTTTATTTCAGGACGAGGCCAGACTGTAACTTAAAGGAATTGGGAATGCATTTATCCAGTTTGTTTGTTATTCCATTAGCCAACAGTTAGGCCAGTGATTTGATCAAGTATGGTTGTTTCTTGTACTGTCCGCAGCCCAAAACAAATCCACGCTTGTCCCTTGGTACTTTCTGGAGAGCTGAAAGGAAGAGACTTCTTAAGGATTTTGTGATAGAAAAGCTGCACAGAGATCTTTTAAAGGTGTTTATCTAGATGCTCTTGTTTGTTTTTAAGAAAATACACTGAGTAACATTCTTAACTTCAAGGTTGCAAGGTCGGTTTTGGGAATGTTTTTCAGGAAGTGTTGCACTATTTCAGAAATTCTTATTTCATTATGTTTTTCTGCCAAGGATTAAAATGAAATGTGTAAATTCAAAGGTGGCTTTAATTCAGTGGTCAGCAAATCAAATACTAAATAGTACACTGAACACCTATTCAGCTGAGATAAAATTTGTACGCTTTGTGGGGGAAGAGAATTGTAGTTGCGTTGTTCGGAGGGTTCTTCAGTACTTTCTAAATTAACATACTAATAAATCTTTCAGTAGCATGTACTAATAATAAGAAAAACTTACCATCTATTTTATGTACATCTCACTAGTATGAATGTGGGAACCAGACCATTAATAGAATCTCCTGTTTATTTACTAAGGGCATGAAGACATCTAGCAAGCAAGATGAGGCCTGGATCATGAACCGTCTGATAAAACAGCTCACAGACATGGGCTTCCCTGTGAGTAATGCTCGTAGCTAGCATGCCTGTGGCTTAGCTTGTCGTTGTGACTTTCAATGTTTCAGACTGTAGCTGCAAAAAGATCTTCAGTCTCTTCTTCAGGCCAAGTAGTAGTTCTGTTACCTGAATTTAGACGTCTACCATAAGCTAGTAGAGTGCTCTCTTGAGATGACATGATGATATACTTTGTGTTATGACAGTTATAGAACTTTTGAAGTTCAGAGTTTTATAACAACAGGTTATAACTTTGAACTTCAGTAATAATTCCACTTCTGTTCCCCTTTTCTTAATCAACAGTTAGAGTATAACTGGGTTTTTTAAGAGAAAGGTTTCTCATAGTGATATTTAAATTGTCCATAGAAAATTGAGAGAAATATAAATAGAAGATTATGATTTCACCATGTAGAACTAGTACTTACTTGACATACTGAAATTAACTGAATTGTTGTGGGAGTTGGTAAAAGCAGAAAAAACATGTGCGGACATTATTTGTGCCCCTTGGTAAATATTCAATCCAATACTTAAGACACATCTGTTTTCTCAGTTTGCTTTGAAATCATATAAGCATGATTACGTTTTCTCTTAACATAATCTGTATTTTTTGACAGAGAGAGCCAGCAGAAGAGGCCTTGAAGAGCAACAATATGAATCTCGATCAGGCCATGAGTAAGTAGCTGTGTAACTAATTTTTTTTTTCTTTAAAGCAACACAGGAACTATTCATGATTCTGAGAGCTTGGTCTTATCCAAATAAGTTGGATAATATTTAATGTCTTGCTTTTGCTTTTGTAAGCAAGACCTACTTCTCTGAACTACTGTTGACAAATTCACTGTCTTTGTGTCACCCTTTTGAATATATTTCCCCTTTCTGTGAAGGTGCTCTGCTGGAAAAGAAGGTGGAAATGGACAAGCGTGGAATGGGAGTGACCGACTATAATGGAATGGTCACCAAACCCCTTGGCTGCCGCCCACCACCAATCTCCAAAGAGTCTTCCATGGACCGCCCCACCTTCCTTGACAAGGTAAGTTCAGAAATGTGAATGCAATACACAAGTCAAAACTGTACACAGAGTAGAAATATTGATGGTTTCCACTGTCTGTGGAAAAGCTGTAGAGAGAAATGTGATCGATACTACCTGTTGCTTTATTCTTTTTCTTCTCTTTTTTAAATTTTATGGGGCATTTCATCCTTGTGGAAAGGACCAGTGATTTGATTTCCACGCAGAAATAAACAATAGTCATCCTTAAGTGTTACACTTAGAAGAGAACTTACTAAGGAATCAGTAGTGCAATGGAAGTAGAAATGGGAAAAACAAAGAAACAGACCACAGAAAGCATTTCACTCTATAAGATTCCAGAGAGTCAGTGACCCTTGCTTAAATTAAGGATTGGGCAGGTCCAAAGCCAAAATCTTCAAGAGTTAGGCACCTAATTCCTGTTTTAGTTTTGAGCTCCCTAGAGATTTCGGTGAAAGTTCAGTACTTAAATAGGAACGAGGAGCTGAGGTATTTTTTTAAGTCAAAGAGCAGACACACAGTCATAAACAGCTTCTCCAATGAGCTTCCCTTTCTGTGATTGTGTATGACAAATTTTCCAGCACCATTAAATCACGAAGGAGAAGGCTCCAAAAGTTCATGGTGTCCAAGATTCAAAGTGCCTAAAGAAAAGGATGTAGGG